ACTAGAGAAAACAATCCTAAAATTCATTTGGAAGTAGAAGAGACCTAGAATAGCAAAAGCACTTCTGGGCAACAAAGGTAAGGCAGAGGTCATCACAATCCCCAACTGAAGTTATACTATAAAGCTACAGTGATAACAGTAGCATGGTAATGGCAAAGCAAAACAAAAAACAGACCCAAGGATCAATGGAGCAAAATAGAAAATGCAGAAACAACTTTAAACATATTCCTTCACAAATGGGCCAAACTCACACTTTGACAAAAGGGCCAAACACCTTCACTGGAAGAGAGAGAACCTCTTTATTAAATGATGCTGGGAAAACTGGCTTTCCACATGCTGAAAACTGAACTTAGACTTATATCTCTCAAGATACACTAAATTCAAATAGAAACAGGGGGCTGGGGATTTAGCTTAGCAGCACAGCGCCTGCCTGGCAAGCGCAAAGTTGTGTGTTCGATTCCCGGTACTGGAGAAAAACCAAAACAAAAAACAAAAACAAAATCAAATAGAAATAGATCAAAGATCTAAATATAAAACAGAAACAATCTGCTACAAGATAGAATAGGCAATACTTTTGAAGACATAGTTGTAGGCAAAGACTTTATGAAGAATAGGCCATACTTTTGAAGACATAATTGTAGGCAAAGACTTTATGAAGAAAACCTTGATCACACAGGAAATGTTACAATCAACAACTGGGATCGTATTAAAAAGCTTTTGCAAAGCAAAAGAAACCACCAACAGAGTGAAGAGACAACCTACAGATTAGGAAAAAAATTTACCAGGTACTCCTCAGACAAAGGACTAATATCTAGAATATATAAAGAACTCAAAATCAGATCCCCAACCCAAAAATGGGCATCTGAAATGAATACACATTTCTCAGATGAAGAAGTATAAACAGCAAATATATGAAAAAAAATGCTCAGTATCGCCAGATATTTGAGAAATGCAAATGAAAATAACACTGAGATTCCATCTCACTCTTAGAAAAAATAGCTATCATCAAGAAATCAACCAGTAACAAATTCTGGCAAGGCTATGGGGAAAAAGGAAGCCTTCTCTGCTGTTTGGGGGAGGGTAAATTGGTACAACCACTGTGGAAATCAATGTGGAAATTCCTAAAAAAAAAAAAAAAACTAGAGGTTCCATTTGACCCAGCTCTTCCCCTTCTTGGTATTTTCCCAAAAGAGTTAAAAGCATTTTACCACAGTGTATATGCATACCAATGTTTGTAGCAGCACAATTTATAACAGCGAACTCTTGGAAACAGCGTAGATGCCCATGAGTGGATAAACAGATAAAGAACATGTGGCATTTATATATACAATAGAGTACTACTCTGCCACCAAGAAGAAGAAAAATGGATGCACCTTGAGACTATACTTTTAACTGAAATAAATCAGACACGCATGTTTAAGTATTTCATTGTTTCTCTTATGTTAGAAACCCAAAGGTAAATAAGGACTAAAATGGATGACATATTGGGAAGTAGGAAGAAAATGTTCTAATGGGAAGGGGAACAAGGGGAGGGGAGAGAAAGGAAGGAAGGGAAAAAGAAAAAGAATAGAAGGAAAAAATGGAAACGAAGCCTTTGTAAATAAGAAGGGGAGAAAAGGGTTGAAGGGAAGGGATGGAAATAGGGAAAATCAAGATATATATGATGAATGTGATCATTATGTATATCAAAAGCATACCAGTAAAATTAATTTTAAAATGTTTAAAATATTTGCAGTAGTGGGGATTGAATGTAGGGTCTTTGCACTGAGGTACATCATCCCCAGCCTTTATTTTTTATTTCAAGGCATGGTCTCACAAGTTATCCAGGCCAAGTTCAAATTTGAGATCCTCCTGCTTTCGTCTTCCAGAGTGCTGGGATTTTGGGCATCCACCAACATGCCCAGCTCTATTTGCTTAGTTTTTATGTATTAATTCATAATGCTTTATTCAAGATTGTTCGGACCTCATGTATTTCAGATGAGATTGGGTGCATGCAGGTCGGTATGGCCATAGACTGGACCACACGTATTTCAGAATTCAGAATTTTTGAAATTTTAAGCAAAAGTTTCAAAATTCACTGCTGGACTAACTGGAATTAAAACTACTGCTATTGGGCTGGACGTGTACCTCATTGGTAGACTGCCTGCCTAGCAAGCACAAGGGTGTGGCCTGAATCTCCAGCACCATCACAATAAAACTACTGCCATCAGTGAGAAAAGTGCAACATTGCTGGTGGGGGTGTGTGGATCCAGGGATGTTATTTCTAAAGCAGCCTCTCGGCCTCAGTAAACTACAGGTAGTCCAAAACTGTTGTGTGGGAGGGAATAGTATCTTTTTATCAGCTTCTGTATTTTGCTATGGGTACAAATTGTTAATTTTCTTGCCACCCCTTTCAAACGACAGCTAAATTGAGAGTCATTTCCAGTCTTTCTGGCTTAAAACCAGAAAAGCGAAGTAATTCCTAGCCCTGCCAAGACCATAACATTCTGAACGTACCTTAGCCTTGTCCTGGTCTTTAGTTACTTCTGCATGAAATTGTAATGTCTGAGCCATGATTCTTGGGGGAAAAAAAGGATCAACCCTCTTGAGAACAAAAATCTCTCTGCATCACCCAATAATGAGTTATTTGTCTGACCTCTCCTGCTTAGCACAGGTCCAATAGTAAGCTCGGTAAATGTATCTTTTAGTGTTGTCAGTTGCTTTAGTTTTTCCATCTTTACACTAACACTTGAGGGCTGGGGATATAGCTCAGTGGCATAAGTGCCTGCCTGGCAAGTGCAAGGTGCTGAGTTCGATTCCCAGTACCAAAAAGAAAAAAGGAGGGGGCTGGGGATTTAGCTCAGCGGCAAAAGCGCCTGCCTGGCAAGCGTAAGGTCGTGAGTTCGGTTCCCGTTACCGGAGAAAAACCCAAAAAAAAAAAAAAAAAAAAAGAAAAAAGGAGAAGAAAATACATTAACACTCAAAAGGCACCTACTTTGCTTTTCTATACAAAACAAGGCCTTTTTATCCTAACATAAATTCAAGGAATAGAAAAGAAGAAGCAATCCAGTGTCTTGACATCAGGCCGTGAAGCCTGTAAAAGCTTGCTATATGTGCTAAAATTTAAAGAGGGACTTGAAAAAAAATGGGTGTTTTGTTGAAAATTAGAGATAATACAGTTTCACTGTGAGGCTTCTTAACACTCATTTTTCTAATTTACAAACCCTACTTTCTTATAAATCTGGGACTAGGTAGGCAGTGACTCTCAGGAATGGGTGACCCTGGGCACAATTGCGCAGTCATCAGAGACTGCTCCAAATGTACTCTCTCCCAGAAGTCCCTTCCCAAGTCAGACATTCAGCTTACTCTTCCCTGACACAAGTGTTTACAACATACAGTTTCCAATTATAGTTTATAGTATAAAAGGTACCATGGTAGATAACAAAGATTAAACCAAAGGAATGAATCTTGAGTGGCTGGGACTAAAGGGACTTTGATAGCAGTAGGAGAGGTGTCCCCATGAATCTTCCTTGGTCCTGACTGATGGTCAGCAACCTTCTCCATACACTCCATAGGCGCTCGCTTGCTTGTGAAGTTGGCAAGACAAGGTGGTGCTCACACCAATGCAGCTTAAACAGCTTACATAAATGACACAAAAAATCATCATGTTGCCGGGCACGGTGGCGCACGCCTGTAATCCTAGCACTCAGGAGGCTGAGGGAGGAAGATCACTGTGAGTTTGATGCCAGCCTGGACTAGATAAGCGAGTTCAAGGCCAGCCTGCATAGTGAGACCCTGTCTCAAAACAAAAAAAAAATCATGTTATTGTTACAAAACACAGGAACGTGACACCAGGGTTACTGGGGGAATGGATAATGTCATCAGGATGTTAATGATAATGCTCACATCATAAAGAACTTTTGGTGGAGAAGCTGATTAAATTGGAAATGGTAAGAGTCGTGGATGGCTAAGGCTGAGAAAGTTGGTGAGACCGTTATAATGTTAATGTCAGGACCAGCAGACTGGGCTAGTATTTAAAGGATTGCACAATAAGCCTTTCAAAAGACTGGCACATATATCTTATAATTGGTCAACTGCTACGAGTTTCAGATAATCCTACTATTCACTCTCCCTATATTCATTACCAGCCGCTAACCCTCCCGACCCACAAAACACCTACTACTTTTTTTTTGTTGTTGTTACCGGGAATCGAACTCACAACCTCGCACTTGCCAGGCAGGCTGTGCCGCCGAGCTAAATCCCTGGCACACTTGCCACTTTAAACACATCAAATCTTTCCAAACTAGCTTTGAAGAATTACACCTTTCAGCAGCAGTGTGCAAACTCCATAGATATGTTGAAACTAACATAATATGACAATTGAAAGGATACTCCTCATCAAAGGGTTTTGTTTTTGGGAACCCTCCCTGTCTGTGCGGATTCCGGATTCCGGAAGACCTTTTCATAGATGAGAAATGCAACTTTTCAGTCCTCGGTCCTGAGTCTCCACGCTGCCCTAGCCGTCGTTCTCATTAATGGGATGAATGAGAGACAGTGAATTCTCCGCGCTCTGGCCTCCCAATTGCAAGTTCTTCTCCAGCGCTAAAGCGAGATGCGGGAAATGCCAGCCTCCCCTTAAGGAGACGGACCCCCAAATCGAAAATCAAAGCCCAGGGACTGAACTGGAGAGCAGAGAAACGAAAGTAGTGGAAAGAGCGCCCCTCGGAGAATGCCGACACGGCACCAGGACGCGCACCTGGCGCCGTCAACCCGGTGTCCTGGAACCCGCGCCGAGAAACCCCTCTCCACCCCGCCCGCTGTCCCGGAGCGTCCTCTCGCGCCCCCGCGCGCCCGACCGGGGACGCACGTCCGCGCGCTCCCACGGCGCGGGG